GAAGAGAAAGATGAATTAATACCTGAAGAGAAACCTGAAGGTAAAGATGAGGATTCTGATACAAAAAATGAAGAAAATCCTCAAGGTAAAGCTAAAAGAGGGGAAGATACAATAGCATCAATTCGTGAAAAAGGGGAGAGAGTTATGATGAGGAAGGCTAGATTAATATTTACTGCGGTACCTGAATCGAAAAATGGTATTAAAAAGGAAGATAAGAAAGAAGATAAGAAGGAAGGAAAGAAAGAGGAAGAAAAAAAAGAAGAAAACAAAGAAAAGATTTCTCAAGCAAAGAAAGACATTACAAAGAAGGAAGAAAAAATTGAACTAAAACCTGAAGAGAAGAAAGAAATTGAAGAAGAGAGGAAAATTGAAACTGCTAAAAATAAAGCACCATAAAAAGGTTGAAAAGGAATAAATAAAATAGTAATTAGCAAAAAATTTTTCTGAAATCTTTGTTAAAATAAAAATTTTTTCTTTTGTTTATTTTTTTCAAAAATTTAATTATTATGATTTTATTTATATGTACTATTAATTTTAATTTTGAAAATATATTTTTTCATATAAAATTTAAACAATGACAAGTTTTTAAATGTTTTAGCAAGTAAAATTAAAAAATTATGAAGATCTATCAATAAATTAGGGAACTAATATTGGTGTATTGAAGCGTTTAATTAAGGATTACAAATTAGCATTGGACGGCAAAATCATTTCTCTACATCGGAAACCTTTAGATTTCATAATCGTGCCGGGCAAGATCTGTACATAATTTCTGGCTTATTTTTTAGTCCAGAGAAATAATTATTTGTAGTGAACGATGCCGAATAAGTAGGGAGAGAATATTCTCATCCCCGAGGACGGGATACGAACACTAGTAAAATTACTTATTCGCTCCCGACAGTAATTTATTTAATTTTTTATTTTCTAGTTAGAACATTTTCCGATTTATTGAAATTATAAAATTTTATAATTTATTGAAATTGTTTTTAATAGACTAAAAAGTGCAACTCTTATTATGAAATTATTAAATATTTACACACATTATAAAAAATCGAATAATTGAGTGCGTGATTCCTCTTTAATCTGCCGCTTATTTACATATCTCGTGATTTATTTCTTAACATATCAATTAATGCCGCTCTCAAAAAATGCCGCTATGGTAAGCAATAACATTTAAAAATTTTTTTAATAATTAATGTTTATTAATTAAATAAAACAGTGGATACGTTAAAATATATATATAACTTCTGTTTATATGTACTATGTATTTGGTAGGCCATTAAGGGGGGACTATAAGAATTCTTTAAAATTTTTAATAATCAAAGCACTACATAAATTCGAGATACGACTGTATTATCTTATAAACTTATACGAATAAAATACTTTAACATATGAATATAATTTAATAAACAATTTTTAGATGAAATTAACTAATTATGTGATTTTTTTCTTAAATATTTTAAATTTTTTTGTTTTGTTGGAAGGCGTAGGAGATAGTAAAGGAAAGGAAAAAATGATTGGACCTACAAGCGGTAGTGAAAAGGATAAATATTCAGATGTTCGATATACGCGTAAGTTGCTAAATTTGGCTAATGTAAAAAGAATAAATAAAAAAAACTCGATCTTAATTGTAGTACTTGAATGATGGTTTAATCTTTTTCGCTTTAATCACTTTTTTGGTGAAAGGAATTAAAATATCATTAAATGATTTTCAATAGAAGGAAGTTTCTAATGACCAAAAGTAAAAATCAAGAACCATACCTTTTAAGCTTACAAAATTTCTGTTACTTTTTGGTTGTCTCTCCCATTTTCTTTATCTCCTTTTTACTAATTCGATCAGCTATAACTTTTTTATCATTGAAATATCCTGACAAGAATGAATGAAAATCACCATCCTGGAATAATTTATTGCGTAGGATGATATAGCTTGCTGTAAAGAGTAACCTAAAAAGACTAAAATCTAGGGCTATCAAAGTATCCCTGATCAAAGTATTCCCATTAAATGGTAACGATAAGCTTTTTGTGTTAGATAATTTCGCCAATCCATTATTATTAGATCAAATTATATTTTTGGCTTAAATTTTTTTGAATTTTATCTTAGAAATAAACTTTATAAAAATTTTTAGCTGGAAATAATGCAACAGTCAATACACAACCTCGTCTAATGCAAGATTTTAGTATTGTGAGTAACGAGGAACTTGAAACCTCAAAGGATATAAAACGCAAAAGAGGTATTATATGTAGAATAAAAATATAATAAGCTTTTCTTTACTAAATAAGCACGAGGTATTAAAAATGCGGTGATGAAGTATTTTTTTATCTAGCTGTTTATTAACCTTCAAATGCTGATAATAAAGTTAACAAAGGAATAAACGATTATGTCCGAATGAGCTTTAAAATGTTTTTACGATTTGTGATATCTCTATATGTATATACTATTCTCTTAAACTCTGTTATCTAAGCTCCCAAAATTATCCTTTAAGCCAATGAAGGAATTAATCTTTTCTTATTTGGATTTTATGCTTTAATGGATACACCATATTTACTATTATATAGAGTTGGCCGGTATCGGGATTTAGAGAAAAACCCGGGAGTCTTTCGCTTGATATTGAGGTAGCAGGTATTGAATGGACAATTCTCGCCAAACGAAACAAATCTGGAAAATGTCCTCCATTCATATTCCAACACTTAAATATATCTGCATCGATAGGTGCTCTTTCAGTTCCTCTTAAACTTGCAAGTTGTACTTCAATTCGTGAAGAAAGTGTTGAAGCCATAGGTGTCGTAGATTTTGGACGTTGAAAAATGTCATCTGAATTAATAATTAAATTTAATTTTTAAATATAAATATTACAATGCAAATAGTACATTGTGCCTTCTCAGTATTCAGTTTCTCGAAATATTTCCAAACTTCTGACATTTGAAATCTTAACTCAAATAGAAATAAATTATTAAAAAATGTAAAAATAAAATTCTAGTAATTTCAGTCTAAAAAGTCGCGTTTTATTGGAACATTAATACATAATAAAAATTGTCAATTAGGTAAATCAATAAATTGTCAATAAAAATTACAAAATAAAATATTTATAAAATCGGGATTTTCTCCGGGATCTGATGCACATCCCGATCCCGATCCCGGATCCCGGCTCGGGATTGAGACTGGCCGGGATCGGGATATTTATTTCGGGACCGGGATCAGAAAAATCGGGATCGGGATTCGAAAAACCCGGGATAATCCCGCCCGATCCCGACCGGGATCCCGATCCCGCTGAACTCTACTATTATAGAGGACAAATCAAAAATTTTGACTCATTTTAATGTAAATAATGGAATAGCTACCTGTAAAGAATGCGATCAAACGTGCCCTCAAGCTTATGTGGTGAAAGACAATGGACCTATAATAAAGTTAAAGGCACATCTTGAAAAGCATGGCATTAATATACAAAATGTGCTAAATTGTGATGGATTACCAAAACGTAATTTTAAAAAATTATTGAATATACGGCAAGGTAGGTTAATAAAGGGCTGGTACTAGTAAAAGAATGTCAGGCTTTGTCAGGCTTATTCAGTTTTGTCAAACTTATTCAGTCCTATTTGATTAAATGCTCCCAAGATTAATCTTTAACTTTATAACTGGATTTCAAAATTTTATAAACTTTTTGTTTAAATACATAAAATTAAGAAATATATAATATTATAGGAAGGAAATCACTAGCCTGGAATCATTTTAATGCGGAGAATGGTATGGCTCAATGTAATATATGCTCAACGAGATATAAAACTTATTTGGGATGTACGACTGCTTTAAAGAAACATCTTAAAAATGCCCATCAAATTCATGTCCCTAATGTGAAAGAAAATAAAGGTAATTTAAATTTTTAATTATATATTAATAAAAACGAATATATTCATCACAAGCGTTGTCGGTCAGGATATTAGAGAGTTTTGGATACGGTGTTTTCCTATGCAGACGTATACATATCTAAACATAACATACAGTAATGGACTTAGTGAGGGTTATTAAAGAGAAGTTCTCATTAAGACATTGTCATTATACTTGTTGCAATAATTTTTGCATGAAACATAGTAGAAATGGATTTGAACTCGATATTAAACCTTTAATTTTTAGGAAGCAATGAGGAAGGTACAAATGTTGAAGCAGGAGACGGCGGAGAATCTAAAGATATTGAATCAGGAGATCGTGAAGGAGTTCCATATGTTAAAGCAGGGGACGGAGAAGAAGCTGCAAATGTTGAAGGAGATGGTGAAGAAGCATCAGATAGTGACGCTACGGTTTCAGATTTCAACTAAATCTAAACTATTTAAAGCAGTAATGGACTATTTCGCTATAAAAAAGGAAAGACAAAAAATTTAAAAAATTCTGTATCTGACAAAAAAAAATTTAAAATAAAAAAATCATGAAATATTAAAATGCAAAAAAAAAATATTGCAAAAAGTAAACAAAATTATGTATTTATTAACTTTGCTTCATTGTATTCATTCATTTATAATTAGTATTAGAATGAAAATTAAATTTACATACCATTTTTTATTTATTCGGGAAAATTTAAATTTTTTTAAAATAAGTTATTGTGTATGCTCTCGTGTTAGCTCTCGTGAGTTTCCTGCGGCTACAACTCTGTGTCCAAGCAAAGGGTTGGCACTTTGAATTTTTTGATTAATATACGTATACTTTATTAATTCACTATCAATAAAGATATATTGGTATATTTGATTAAATTATTTCTAATTCTAATACAATATGGCATAAATAATTTGATCGGTAACATTTGTGTCGCCTTTTATGAATAAATTTTGTAGTTGATTTAAACTAGAAATTATGTATAAAAAATAAATTTTATATAAGATTATATAATATTTATCATAAAAAATGAAAAGTATGGACATGTAATATAAATAAGATTAAAATAAGCTAAAAAGTTAATTGTATGCTTTCGATAATTCTTTTAAATTGACTCCTAAATTCGTTTTGAGAATGCTGTTTATTTTCGTCCCCATCCCCAACCACCATAACCATATCCTCCACAACATCCCCATCCTCCACCATAACCTCCACCCCATCCCCATCCTCCTCCAAAACCGCCCCAACCTCCATAGCCACCCCATCCACCATATCCATAGCCCCAGCGTTTTTGCCGTTCACTTAATCGTTAAATTATTAAATAATATTTAAATCAAGTTACTCTTTTCCATCTCCTGATTTGACAATAAACGGAGGAGCAACATCAGATTTTTCTTTATTTTTAGATTGAAATATTAGATTAGGGTTTGCTTCAGGTTTTACAGCCCCTTCTATTGTTTTTGACTGTGCCGTTATTTCTGCTTTTTCATCTTTTTTTGCTTCATTTACTGGGCCTTTTTCAGCCGCATAAGCAAATGATAATATTAAAGCTATTAGGAAAAATTTTATAAAAATAGAATTCATTTTTATAAAGTGAAAGTTTCTAAAAATTTATTTAATAAGTTCAGTAAGTAAGCAAATAGTCGCGAGTAGGGCGTTTTGTAATTTGAGGTGTATTAGGCCATTTGGATAATTATTGTCAAAAATCTCACTGTAGGGGTAATTAATGGGGGGGGGGGATTCCGCGGAGCTATAACTTTGTCAAAAATTGTCGAATCCGTGGCGCCCTGGTGTGGGTGCCGGAATTTTCGTCTCTGGAAATTTCGTCTCCAAGACTTTTCGGAACTTTCGTCTCCAACATTTTCGGAATTTTCGTCTCCAGCGGAATATTCGTCTCCAAGGGAATAAACGGAATATTCGTCTCCGCAATTTTCGTCTCCGCTAGGAACTTTCGTCTCCAGAGGAAAATTACCTGTTGACGGAACAACATCCCCAGTTAACGGAACATCATCCCCGTTAACGGAACAACATCCCCCGTTGACGGAATAACATCCCCCTTTACCGGTACAACATCCCCTTTTACCAAACAACATACCCCGTTGACGGAACAACATCCCCGTTAACGGAACAACATCCCCGTTAACGGAACAACATCCCCAGTTGCGAAACAACTTTTCCCGTTGCCGGAACACATCATTTTTTCTCTGGTCCGTCAACGGGTAATTTTACTCTGGAGACGAAAATTCCTAGCGGAGACGAAAATTGCGGAGACGAATATTCCGTTTATTTCCTTGGAGACGAATATTCCGCTGGAGACGAAAATTCCGAAAATGTTGGAGACGAAAGTTCCGAAAAGTCTTGGAGACGAAATTTCCAGAGACGAAAATTCCGTACACCCCTGGTGTGGTCCTATTCAGCTGGTCGAGATGCATCGAACCAAGGCAGGGCGCCACGGATTCGGCAATTTTGAACAAAGTTACGGTACATCAGTTTGTTCCCTATTATTTGAGATAAGGTAATTATTCGAGTATTCTAGAATAATTATCGGGTTGGTGTAAAAGATGCGACACAAGTCCGCCAAACCAAAATGATGGTTCTATTAAACACTATTTAGTTTCATAAAAAAAGCTAGTTCCTTCGGCTTTATTATAGGACATCTGTAGTTCTGTAGGTTATTGTGGGTTTTTAGAGAGTTTTCGAGTTTTCCAGATTCTATTGTTAAATGAAACCGAAACGGCAAACCGAGTCGAATATCTTCTGTTTTTAGGGTCGATTCGGTTTGAAATCGTCAACCCTAGTAGTGAGTGTTCTGTAGAAGTTGTGATTGCTATAAAAATTCATTAAAAAGTAGTTGAGCAGTGAGTGATAGAATATAATTTAGTGACAATGAATCTCTGTAAATTTATTTTATAATAGTAAAATTATGAGCACATTTTTATAATTTATTTCAGCATTTGAGGAATTCCAATTAATTTTTTACATCATAAGACTATATCCAACAAACCACAAAACTAGAAAAAATAATTTGCAAAAATAAATAATGAATCATCACAAAATAATGACCTTTTAAATTAAAAACCTCAAGATATTTTATAGTTTAAATTAAAAAGTTTTTTTATTTTATTTATTTTTATTTAAATGCGTCATCTTCCGTTTGAGTATTCAAAATAAACAATTAAATAAATTATAATTTTAGTAAATTGAAGAGATTTTTTAAGTTTTTCATTGAAAAATGTTCATAAATAAAATATAAAAATATTTTTGTTATTATTTTTTATAAAAGAAATTCGTTTAAAACATAGCCTATATACTATAAATTTGTTTGGCGAATTTAAAGAAAAATTTTTTGTGAATAAACTTTGCAGAAAAAATTAATTATTAAACTAAAATAATATGCACTATTTATCAAACACAATTAATGAAATCTGATTGCAAAGTATAGATAAATCAATCCCCTGATGAATAGCTAGATAGTGGTCTCTACTTTTTGTTTAACATCATTCAATAATCTTTCACTTCAATTATCTCTTAGAACCAAACAATTTAACAATAATATAAACGAATCCAAACATTAAAGCTAATACTGAAATAATTCCAAATCCAGCAAGAATTGCCGTGCCTGTTGAAGCCAAAAATTGTGCCTTTGCTGCCTGTTGCTAAAATTATTAAATGAATGTTTTTTTATTTATTTTAAATATTTATTGAATTCGATCAGTAATATTATTAAATTAAAGCAAGATGAAATTAGATTCTGTTAGTGGGCTGTCCGCATCAGAGGTAGATCGGAATCAGAGTAGCGTAGTAATTACGAATTACGTATCTTTTGAGTTACGAATTACGATTACGAAAAAAATTTTCAATTACCACGCAATCTCCGAAATTTGTTTTCCGAAATTTGAGTTTCCGAAACGTTTTCCGAAATCTGAGCGATTGCAATTTCCGAGTTCCGAATTTTGGGCCATTTCCGACTTCCGGTACCATCGTTATTTCTGATCGACCTCTGTTCCGCGTTTAAAAATTTTTCATATATCTAAAACCGAATTATAGAACCGACATAAAAAATCCTATGTTCTTCATTTCGGTTCGATTCTGAATGATCATAATGGTAATTATTATGTCACGAATAGGGTCGTAAGTTTTTGGAAATACTCAGATATTAGAAATTTTCGGTTAGGTTCCAAAATACAACACTGATTATAAATTAAACACAATATCTATTCTCCTCTTAGGCAAAATAATCTAGTAATTTTAAGCCGAAATTAAATATTAATTTTTTATTAGTCTTCTATTTACCTGGGGACAATATTTAAACGATAATCAAAAAAATTTTGGTGGCCGAACGTTTCGTCAATGAACTTTTCGTCACCGAACCTTTCGTCAAAACCTTTCGTCACTGAACCTTCCGTCACCAAACCTTTCGTCACTGAACCTTTCGTCACTATTCACCATAAAAAAGAGAATGCACATCTGGGCCCGTACAATAAAATCGGGGTTTGGGTTATTTAACCCCTACCCGAGGGTTAAATAACCCTCAACCCGCACAATAAATGAAAACCCCGAGTTAAGGGTTAAATGACCGGGTTATTTAACCCGCAACCCGGGGTTGTTTAACCGGCCGGTACAATAAAAGAGCTACCCGGGGTTAAATAACCCGCAGCTCCGGGTAAAATGACGACCCTGCTAGGGGGCAGGGTAATCGGGTAAAAAGCATAATTTATAAAATATTTTTAAAACAAAAAAAATTTATTTCAAAAATGAAAAAAATATTTTTAACTAATATGTATCTAAAACTAGATTAAATTTGTGAAATTTTCCAGAAATTTTAAAATTTAGCTTTTATCAGTAAAATTTTTATTATTTAAAACGAGAAGCGAGTTCATTCCGCTTCAAAATAGCTTCCTGTCTTGATCTTCTTTCACTTACATTCAAAACATTTTCCTCAAAAAATTCTGTTTCTGGTTGGTCATCCTCAATCTCATCTTCATAGATTGGTAAACGACGATCAATAGCTATGTTGTGCAGAACTGAGCTTGTTCAAATCATTAGGAAAATAAATAAATTCAGAAGCTTTGTTAGCTAACGAGGTTATTACTCTTCTAACAATTGCAGAAACGGTCTGTTGCGTTATACCAAAACTATCACCTACATGAAGTTCAAAAGAGTTGGAAGCCAGATATTTTAAAGTAGTTAGTATCTATTGAATGGAAATTTTAAAACAATTAAAAATTACGAAAAACTTGGATTTCTGGATTTATTTGAGCTCTACCAGGTCCAACATGAGTCAAGTCATCCTTAACTAAATCAACCAAAAACTCTATCCCTTCTCGGTTAAACCGATATCTTTTTATTAATTCATAATCATTAAATCCTTCAGTGGGATTCGAATAATCCCTTACTCCTTTAAAAGCAGAATGAAAAAATCGAGCCATCTAAGAAACTTTAGAACAATTAAAATAAAAAATATATGATATTAGAACACAAGGAAGAATAAATAGGCCAAAAATTAAATTATCAAAAATGAACAAAAAAATAACAACATGTCAAAATTTCAGAGAAGAAATGCTATTAGAAAAGAGATTAAATTTGAGGACAAATTTCGTTAAAGGAGGGAGGAGTGATATGTCCGCTATTATATGTTTTTATTTGTTATCAATTTTTATGAATGCTTCTGCCTTCTCTTTCAAATTGTTCCCCCAAACCATATTTTAAATATAACTTCCTTTTGATCTTTCTCAAAACTTTCCCCTATAACATTTTACACCTTCACATTCAAATATATAATTTTCTTATCTAAATTGTAAGCTAAACTTATTTCCTATTTCCCGCCTATTCCAAAACCCTATAAATACCCATTTGTAATTTCATCTAATTTGCGTTATTTTGAACTAAACTGAATAATAAAGATTGTTGCTTGTTAGAGTCTTGTTTGAGAGTATAGATTAGGATATATTAAATCCGGAGACATAATACTGGTGCCACGACCAGACTAGTTTTAAGAACTAGACGGAGAATTCAAAAAAAATTTAAATAAAAAGAGAAATAAATTGAAAATGTCTGGATCTGATTTTGCTCCTGAACATTTTAGTTCAGAGGAAAAGAAATATTTCAGCACTATCCTTGCTCAATTGCGCTCCTTTGAACGTTCGGTGGCAAAGAGCTTCCGAAAAGTAGAAGGAAGATTAGAAATTATTGAGAAAAATATTGAAAAGAATAAGAATAGTTTAAAAGCAACTAAAGGTTCTGTAACGAAATTACGAAATTTTTTAAAAGATTTTAATAAAGATATTCAGTCAAAAATGGGGAAGTTCGAAAATTTGAGTGGAAATACTGAAGATATAGACGAAGAAGAATTTGAAAATAGTTCAGTTAATGATTCAAATGAAGCAAATGATTTGGTAAATAGTGAAGAAAATTACCAGGAAATTATGATAATTTTAGATACCGTATATGCTCAAATAATTACCTTAATTATATTTTCTAACTTTCGCTAGTGGAGATAATTATTTGAGAGCGGGTAATTATTTGAGCATATACGGTATACCGTATTTTCCTAATAAAATTGCATGCAGCTGTATTTTTAAATTTCCTCTGTAAGGACCTCTCTAGCGGATAGATCCTCTCTCAAATAGAAAAATACGGGAGAATAAATTTTTGTAGAGATAAAGATTCTTAACTTTGCAAAAATTCTAATTGGTAATGGAATTATTAGATTTATTACGGATTGGAGATTAATCGAGTATTGGGAATTAGCTCATATATTCAGATATACCCTCTAAATAGACCAATATTTCTCCTACTAAGTAATATATAAAAAATCATTGTTAATTTAATTAATGGAAAATTTTAAAAATCAACATCAAAAAAATAAATCAAATCTGTCTTAATCTATTGAGATTATTACTCGTGGTAATTATATTATTTCCTTGTGAAAATACATACAAAATTGGAAATGCAACTGCGATAACTCTATCAACGCTCATAGTTAAAAACATTATGTTAACAATATTAGCACAAACAACAGAATGACCTTGAATTTTAATAGCCAAAGAAACTGGTATAAAATTTATTCCAGTCAAAGTAATAAAAAAGAAGACAAAATGTCCGCTTTGATGCAAAATTTCCAAAAATGAGTTAATTGCCAATAAAATACTTGTTTTGGATTTGAATGTTGTATATTTGCCCCTAAATTTATTTAAAATATTTTATATTAATATAGTAGATAAAATATCAAATACTAATAAAAACAGCCAAAAGTTTAGATTTTTGGCTTAAAAGTACGTTACTAGTAAAATTTATGAGTCCAAATACTATGTACAAGTATGACCAAAAAATTAATGACTCATACGAGTAAGAGCAAATCTGAAATTTTGAAGACTGGGCCTACACAGATAAAAAAATTGCTCGTACTCGTACATACCTAATCGTTTTCTCGTAATCGTACAATTACGAGTACGAATTTTGGTACGAGCTTCCAATCATGGACCTAACCCCATCGGTGTTTTTCAATGTATTGTTTTCAAGAACTTTCCACATTCTTAGCAGACCACACCATCATGAAACTAGTTAAACTATAATGTTAATTTTCCCATATTTTGGAAATGTCGTAAACAAGAGTGAATCTCAGCTAAATTCTTGATTCAAGGAAATTTTAGTTTAAACTCCTAAATCTCGCAAATAAATACCAATATTTCCATGTAATATAACAAACACTTGAATTTAAAATAATTCCAATTGTTGCCGGTATGGTCAGTGATAGCGCTGGAAGGAATAAAGGAAGATGGAAGCCAGGATCTTGATATGCCAGGAAAATGGCCTTAAATTTGATTTATATAAAACGGATAGGTCTTGATTAATTTATTAGGATTTGAAAATAAACGTTATTTTACTTTACACAATCATAATGAAAAATTATGCAAAAATTTTTCGTTTTTCAAAAATTATGCAAAAATTCCGAAATATGCAAAAATATGCATTGTTTTTTTTATCCAACCCTCTTGAATCCATTAGGAATGGAATAGGCAGATTATTATTTTAAATATAATGTTAATAAACATACCGGAAGTGAAGTTGAATTGTTCATTATACGATTTTTAATAATTCACTAAATTCAATTAAGATCCAGGAAAAGCGATATGGATGAAGAACAAAGATTAATTTAAAGAAGAATTAAGAACTACGAAAATACGCAATATCTTATATATTTTGAAAAATTCTTGAAATTTAATTTTTAAACATTAAAAAATAATTTTTCTGATTTTATGTACTATGTGCATATGAAAACTAATTTAATTTTCTTTGAATATTAATACATAAAAAATTATTTTATTAACGTGTGATATAGTATAATAATTTAAAGAAACATTTAGTTACATATTCCCATTTACGCAGAAACTTAAATCTTAATTAGATTTTCTAAATAATTCTATATAATTTAATTTTTAAACGAAATTAAATAATACTTTTCAAGGGGAAAATATTAAATGTAACAATTTTGAGTTAGAATTGAAAATTATACTTTTAAATGTAAACAGGTAATTAAGGAACAATTTTTTAAAAATTTATTGTAAATAAAATTTAATAATTACATATCACTTGTTTGCCGCATTCTAACGTCAAGAAGCGTTGTACCCCTTGTTCCCACTGGATATTAATTTTATTAAATTATAATGTATGTATAAGCAACGTTTCTTGAATTTTAAAATTATATATTGAATTTAGCTTAAAAAATTTTACTTGAAAGAAAAAAAAAACGCCTAAACGAAAATAATTACCTCATAGATGATTATTATTATAATCACCTCGGTAATTATTATAATCACCTCATAGCCCTTCGACACTGAGTAAAATTTTTCTCTAACAGTTCGAACTCAACACATTTATTATCAATGGCAATCATCAAAAATATCGAAAAGCACTTAATCCCCACCTTCTAGTGGAACAGAGATGTTTCGAAACAAAAAAATCTTCGAAAATCGGAAATCAAAAATCGAAAACAATCCAAAAATATCGAAATCGAAAATATTTTTCAAAATCTTCGAAATCGAAAATCGAAAATCGAAAGAAAAATAACCTCGAAAATCGAAAAACGAAAATCGAAAAAAAATTTTTTATAAAAAAATTGAAAAATAAATTTTTATGGTAGGTCTCATTGTCAGTTGGAACTTTTGCTTGAACTCTAAGGAATTGGGGAAAACAAATGACTAGAATCGGAGATCCAGGGAAATCACGAATATCCAAACCCAAAATTTTGCATATCCGAATCTACGGCACAGGCTCCGATCTATTAAAATCTTGGCTTCGGAGCCGGTGATTTTCATAGCCGCTTCATGTTGTCTCCAGATTCCTTGTGTTAAGTTAAAGATGTGTGGATTAAGAGGGATAACGGAGGATTTGAGCAAAATCCCCTGATATAGTAAAGTAGAGCTAGGCCGTTTTACTCATAGGGTTGGGCGGTAACTGGCATGGGGTTCCGGCATGGGGGGGGGGGGGGGGTTCCAAATCCAACTTAATTCAAGCAAATCCTCCAATATACCGGAGCCGAACCTATGGTTAATAGTATCGTTAATAGTTCAGGGATTCCTCCAATTAGGATTTTGGAAGACCATGTCACCAGAATTCTTCTTTTTCAGCGCCGCAGGCGAAAATTTTAAGAATTTTGGAGGATCCTTAAGCCAAAAATCGTCTCTTTTCAGCGCCGCAGGCGAAAATTTTGAAAATTTTGGAGGAAACATAAGCCAAAAATCTTCCGTTTCCAGCGCCGCAGGCGAAAATTTTAAGAATTTTGGAGAATCCTTAAGCCAAAAATCGTCTCTTTTCAGCGCCGCAGGCGAAAATTTTGAAAATTTTGGAGGAAACATAAGCCAAAAATCTTCCGTTTCCAGCGCCGCAGGCGAAAATTTTAAGAATTTTGGAGAATCCTTAAGCCAAAAATCGTCTCTTTTCAGCGCCGCAGGCGAAAATTTTTTAAATTTATGATGGCCGTTAAGTCAGAATTCCTCATTTTTGGCGCCAAAAATTCAAATTTTTTCAAAAATTCGGAAATCGAAAATCGAAAATATCACAAAATTTCGAAAATAGGAAATCGAAAATCAAAAGGGAAAAAACCTCGAAAATCGAAAAACGAAAATCGAAATTTCGAAACATCTCTGTAGTGGAATAAAAAAAATAAGAAAAAATGCGTAATATAAAGCGAAACATTGTCAAAAAGTGCTTAAAATTTACAAAAAATCATAAAATTTACAAAACTAACAAAATTTATTCCTTATTTTCTTCAATTTTTAAACATTTCCTTTCTTCGTTCCTTATAAATTCGTATTGTTTATTATCTTCGTGCAAATGTACAGAATCCAAATTAATTCCCTTTGTTTCAATTAAAAATAATCAAGAAATCAACAAATTTATTGAACCAATAAAGACAATAATTAAATAAACACTTGCGGGCCAACGAGTATTTAAAAATACTAACTGAAAATAATTAAATTTTGAAAATTTTATGAAAATTTTAAAGACCACTGGAGCAATTAAGGTACCAATACGAGCTATAAGTGAACATGAACCAACTGATGAGGCTCTAGGTATTAAGGGATTATTTTAGTTGAGGAATAAAATTTTAAAACCTCAATGATGTTGGCACCGATTCTACGGCGCTAAAAAATTATTTAAAATTATTATTTATAAATCAAACCAGAGATAGCAGGCATCCCTGAAAATATAAAAAATTTTGATTCTTTTGTTCAATTTTTTAGAAAATTAAAAAAAAACTCTTACGTGGCATGGAACGATTTTCGAAGGCGAGGGGATTGTTGGAAAACGTCCACAAGAGCAACACGAGTTTTCTTTCATAGAAAGTGATTTCTACGTTTAATTCCCCTTCCCACCCCCATCTATTTACAAGGGGACGGGGATCATTTACCCATTTTTTACCCTTGTCCTGTTGGGTCAAATTCCGTTTAAAATTAAATAACAACCAAGTTAATTCAATGAAAGTTATTCCAATTAAATTAGCCAAAAGAATTCCAATTCCATCATGATCATAAAAAACGAAGAAGACTAGAAGCGATGCAGAGATAATTACTACAAGTTGTGCCCCTTGATGGAGATTACGCCGAGAAAATTTTGGAAATACAGTATCAACTATAACAAGGCATATTTTAGAGATTGCACATATCGACGAAAGAAGGCTCTTAAAAATTGAAAAAATGTATCCATATGCGATAGATGCTTAACATATTTAGATGCTTAACATAGCCAGAAAACCTAGGGTAATAGATCAGTTCGTACTCCCCCCCCCCTCTTTTTTTTCCTCAAAGTATTAAAAAATGGTCAGTCAGTTTTATTTGTAGAACTCGTCGAGCTGTGTCGAATGACATCAAAATCAACAACCGATCTTAACGACCGAGATACAGACAAAAACACTTCGCAAAGAGAAGTTTTGCAAAAGCGTCTCAGACTATGTACAACTGGATTAATTGTTTATCGAATTTTTAGCCCAAAAAATGAGCTTGGTCCACCCTTTTATTTTTCACATTTTGGGGGTCTGTATCTCGGCCCAAAGTTAAGATCGGGGGTTGATTTTGGTGCCAATAGACACAGCTCGACGAGTTCTATAACCTCTGAATGACTGACCATTTTTTAATACTTTTAGGAAGGAAAAAAAGGAAGGTACGAACCGAACTATTACCAAACCTAGTTTAAAAAAGTAGTTTACTTGATTAAGAAAAAGATCGCCACTAATATTTGAGCTATTTAAATCTATAGAATATCCTGAAATTGCTGCTGTGAACCTTTTAAAAAAATTTAAAAAATAATCAGATACCGTATTTTCTCGATCCCCACCCTCGATTAATTCCCCACTCTCGATTAATTCCCCATGCCAGAGATGGGTTGAAATAATAATTCCCCAGGGGAATTAATCGAGAAAATACGGTAATTCATTTCACTTGCCACATGACCCAAAGAACCGAAACACGTCTCAAAAGCGTCTTATCTTTGATTAAATTCCAAAAAGAATTTTCCTTTGGTGATAATTTTTCATGTTCAGGTAATTTAATTGTCGGTGGAAGACCTGCTAACCGGGCAATTTTTCTTTCATTTATTCGCATTTGTTCAAGACGACCCTTACTATGCTTTAAAATATTTTTTAAATTTTAAATTTTTAAAATATTTAAAAGTATACTAGCCATGTTGGACTTTCAGGCATTAAAAATATTATAATAATTAATGCAGGCATTGAAAATATAGCACAAGCAATACTTGAAGAACGCCAATCAGGGAAAAACATACAAATCAAAGTAAATATTAGGCGGGCAACTCCCTTGAAAAACAAGATATTTTACTCATTTTTTACTCAAAAACAAGATTTTTTACCCACTAACTGTCCTATCAGAATCAGATCTGAGACTGAAAGACGGACATTTTTTCGACCAGAAACCTGCCTCGAAAAAAATTTTGAAACACAACCCGATTATTTCTTAACCCATGAAATCAGGATCTGAAATGTAAAGCTTCCAAATGACCCGTACAACTTTTAAACACCCCCCACCCCTTCCTCAAAAAACTAAAGTACCCAATTAAAAAATCCCCTAATAGCCATCCTTTGAGTTGGTAACAATTGTTCCATCACAAAAGTATATACAACGACCAAATCTCCTCCAATACAGAGACCAAGAATAAAACGGCAAAATAATAAGAAATGCCAATTGGGTGCAAATCCTTAAGAAAAAAATTTTAAAACGTCAAAAATTATTACCAGTAGCAAACATTGAAGCAATTCCAACAGTTAATGCAAAAATAGAAACAGGTTTACGTCCAAATGCATCTGATATTGCTCCAAAAGTTAAAGTGCCAATGAGCACACCAGCAAATTGTATTTGGCTTCAATCAAAAAATTTTTAATTAAAAATGTTTATTAAAAGGTTTAGAAATAATAATTTTCAGAAACAGTTTTATGATTTAAAGAATGGTCATGTTTTTCAAATGTTTGGTTCAGCTCTCACGGAGAGTGAAATGCCAAGAGTGATTTGCTACTCTTAGGGATCAACGCCGGCATTCTCCTATGCGGTGTCTAGGAGATTAAAGGCATCTTTTTTAATTGATGGTGATTGGAAGGATTACCAAAAGCTCAATGCCGCAAAGCTAATGAAATTAAGTAATTTTACACTACAAATAAATTTTTCATATAACTTCCAATAGGAAAACAATTTACCTAAATAAAGCTCGATTATATGCATTAGCTCCACAAATCCAGCCAAATTCCATTGCCGCTGAATGAAAAGGTATATTCTCTTCAAATTGTATCAAATTCTCTGGACATTGTTGATATATTGTACAATTTCTAGCAAAATTGGAAGTATTATTTAATAAACATTTCCATTTTGGTATATAATTTGAAAATACGGAAAAAATCATTTGGGTTGCGAAGAAAATTCCAAACAGCCAACATAACAGAACACAATAATGGAACCGATTGAAATTGAAGGAACAAATAGAATTGATGTTTGTTCTCCTAAACTTGTTGGTGTTGTTTCTGTTGTCCTCGTTGTCCATCCCTAATCTTGGCAAAAATGGAGATTTTCCATTTTGTTGATCAGACGTCATTTTTATATAAATTTAAAAGTTATAAAATGATTTAAATTTAACGTAGGTTTTTCGGAAATTTTCAAATAATGTGTCTATGTGCTGCTCAAGGGTTCTTTTCAACCCAAGGGTCTGATTGCCGCTCAAGGTTTCTTATTTTCAATTGAATAATGCTTGAGTTAAAGAATATAATGACAGATTTTTTCTTCTATTTTATTTATGTAAATAAAATGATAAAAACAAAAATCTTTACATTCTAAACCTCTTAAAAAAAGATAAGAGAAATTTGGTATAAAATCAATGTTTTGAAGAGAATTTCTTTTAATACATATTACCACTTTGTTATAAAGAACAGCTTAATTTTATTATTATTCTATAAAATTTCCTCTTTGAAATTTAAAAAGAATAAAAGCATAAATCACTGCATATTGTTAAGGCAACCTAAAAAGGTACAGCAATAGAAACATAGAAACATAAATTTTCAAACAGCTGTTGAGGACAGCGACTAGTGATTAATAAAAAAATTCAAAATTCAGCAATTACACACGGATTGTGCGTTTTTTCGAGAACAAACATGAAATAATATGTTGATCTGAAAATCATCAAGAACGGACACAACTGTACCTACATATTATATTTTATTTATAAAATTTAAATTGATAATTTATAAAAAAAAATATTTTATTACTTTTAAAATTCCAAGTATTTCTCGAAATAATACTCAAATAAAATTTACAAAATTTTGATTATTTTGTAATTCTTGAAAACATGTTTATTGTTTTGACTGGAAAAATATTATTTTTTTCTATTTTTAAAAATCTGTTTACCTTTCTATTACTACAAAAATACAATTTTTAAAAATAAATTCATATGAAAAGCACAAAAATACACGTGAAATTCATTTTAAAATAAATGAATAATCCTTTACTTCATAATATTATTTTCTTATTATTTTCTTTTTTCTAGCTAAAACTTGTCAGTAAACCTGCAAATATTTATTTATAAATGTTGTTGTGAAAAAGTATTAACATTTAAAATTCTTAAAATAACTCCTTTTTGTTTAAATTGCGTCATCCTAAGTTTAACACCTCCCCATGGTTACATCTTGCATTGGCTGAAAATTCCGATTTTCGGAGCCCGACTCGTGTCCGAATTCTATTTTAGAGTTTTATAAATATAATTTGTTTATTAAAACAAAATTATATTTTTCCCTTATAATATTTACATAAATTTATTTTCACGTGAATTTCTCATATTTTCAGCTGAAAATATTATTTTTCCCCATTTTATGCGCGCTTATTCAGCCTATTATTATTTCACTTTTTTCTAAATTTTGAGTGTTTTGCAGCATTTCCCAAACTAAAATAAACAGAAAAATTAAATTTAAAAGGGCAAGTATTGGGAAAACAAAAAAATTTTTTTATTTGTATTAGTAAATATTTTTATTTTCAATTTGAATATTTTTATTTACCAGTTTTTTTAATTTTTAAAATTATTTGCACTTTATCCCAGATTAATAATTTAAAATATTTGGCTTCTAAAATTTAAATGATCTTAGTTTTTTCTACTCATTTTCACTATCATTCTTTATCACGAAAAAAATCCACAATGTTTTGCGTCAGGATTCAAGCCAAGAATCTCTCGATATCTCTTCAAAATCCTCTTTGAATATCCATCTTAATACCCCCTCCCCTCCAACTCCTTGATATTGATGTTAATCCAATATCGAGGGAGTAACAAAATTCCTGAACTTGCCGAAAATCTGAGTTAATTTTTGTGTCTGAACAGGATCTCTGATGTAAACTTTACATTATTTCTAAACAGCCCACCCCTACTTTCTTGATTTTTCCTCACTTCCGTCAAAATACATTTTTATTTAACTTTCACTTCCGTTTAATTATTTTTTTAAGAAATAGACTTGACATAGGGATAGAAAATCAACTGTATATAGTAAATATTTTTTCCATTTTCCTATTCATTTATTTAATTTGTAAATAAATATTATTAATATTTAATTTAAACTGTATGTTTTTCGCCTTTTATGTTAAGGATCACTCAGTCCAGGTTCTCGATCATCGAAAGTAATTCCCTCCAAAATCTAATAAAATTCCAAAAAATTTCCAAAAATTGGGAATTCTCGACGTTTTTTGGCCGGGAATTCCCGATCCTCGAAATCGAAAATTTATTTTTTTAGGATGGAAGGATGGTAGTGCGAAACTTGCGGACCGACTTTTGCGGACCATAGGTTTAGGTTTTTGTTTTTCTATCGTAACTTTGTCCAAACTTGTACAATCACGATGATTTTGATGTCATTCGACTCAGCTCGTCGAGCTCTTTCGAATGAGCTATGTTTTGAGAAATTCGTCGGGTCCGCAAGTTTCGGTCCGCAAAAGTCGGTCCGCAAGTTTCGGCCTGCCTTTTTTGTATGTCTCACTTGTGTGTAATTTTCTTTTCTAATTTAGTTGTTCACGTCCTCCTAAATCCCAACATTTTCCCTCATATGTAGTGGAACAGCAGGGATGACGCAATTTTAAAAAAAAATTTTCGCAGACGCAATCCGTAGTCCGCAATCTGCAGATGCGTCCAGCCCTGGTGCCGTTCCGATTTTTGAAATCAGGAATTTATCTTTAATACTGGTAGGATCGAGTTACAGTACAGTCCTTATCAATTTATATTTTGGCGAATTTTACTCAAAAACTTTTTTAATCATTTTAAATTACCTTACTTTTAGCAAAAATATTTTTTCCAACGTTTCAAAAAATTGTATCTTTTTTTGTTTATATTTAAATTATTTATTCACAATCTATAGATTAATTCTATAGATTAATTCCCACCATAAATATTTTTGAAAAAGCTGCACTTTACAAGTACGCATTAAATACTCCTCTAAACTTCTCAAAGCTCAAGGTTTTTTCTTCCCTCTTCTTTGTTTGTCCGCGTTTCTCCGCGTTTCTATGTATAACCAACAAAATGAAATTCACGTGAATTTTGTGTGAACCTCACAAAAAATATTTTTCTCTCTTTTTGCTACCAGCCGCTTAGGGAAGAGAAGGAATAAAAAGACGGCTATACGACATTTGCGGGCCGACATTTGAGGATATTATGCATATATTTTTCTAAATTAATTGTAAGATGAAGCCCGAATTTTTCCTTTTTCAACTTTTTAAAATTTTTCAAAATTCGCAGTTTGAACAATGCTTCAAAAACTATCGCAAATCCGAAATTTTTCAAAAATTTCGGAAATCGAAGGGAATAACGGCGGAAATCAGAATTCCAACAATCCTCTGGTTTCTAGTTTATAGCTTACATAATTTTATTGCCATAAGTTTGTTCTAACTCTATATCATTTTATGAATAATTACCAGCTTGTTTTTATAAAATTAACCTCTATTTTTATCATTTTTAACACCGATTTTGAACTTCATACTCCTCAAATGTCTCGTCCTCAAATGTCGCATCATGAAAATAAAAATCGTAAATGAGAGAAAAAAAGGGATTTCAGCACATTTGGTCCTTTATAGTGGGTAAATATTTATGTTAGAGTTTATTTTAGACAGACTGTCTGTCATGTTGTCTATTTATTCCTTGCGACAGCTGCTTAATTCTCTACTATTTTTTAAAATTTAATTTTTTTTCTTCTCCTTTTTTGTTCCAATATTTATTTTTCTTCATTAATATTTGGAGCTTTTATTTGACGTTCGCTTTAGCATTTCGTCGAAAAAAATTTTATTTAAAAGGGCATTGTGAAAGCTTGTCTGGGTAACTTAGCTAGACCGGATATGTTGTTTGAGTGAGAAGCTATTAATGACTACATAAATATATTTAAATATAATGTTGGTTTGTCTGGAGAAATAGTAGAAAGAAACAAAAATTAGAAGAGACTAGCAATCTCTCAAAGTTAGAGACCAGACTAGAAGTGTTGTCGAGATATCTAAAAAAATTTTGAAAATTTTGAGCTTAACTGCGCGGACTAAAATGAAAATGTGTAATATTTAACGCTTAAGACGCCCAAAGTTTTTTAGCGCCGCTGGAAAAAAATTTTATTTGAGGTTAACAAGGAGTTTTGTTCGAGAGGTCTCTCAATCCTGTCTCTAGACCACTATGTTTTGCACCTCTTTTAATGATAATAATAATAATCCTAGTACCTCTAACAATATACGACAACCCTACTTTTATCATTAACATTTAGAAAATTAATTAAAATTGCCTCAACTTGACTTAAAATCACAATTGTTACATATTTGCCTATTCAATTCCCTATTCACGTTAATTTTTAAATTTCTTTATAAATTTTCTAAAATTAGTTACTAAAAATAATTAATAACTTCCTTCCCTCTTAAAAAATATAAAAAACTTTATCCATCATTTTCATTAAAAAATCTCAAATTTCCTCATTTTACATCTACCAATTATTTCCTTAGCAACCCCTCAATCTCTCAATTCCGCTTTTCTTCGTACAATAACGTTCAATTTCCCCACATATATCCCTCTCTCCTCAATTAATTTTTAGCTTTCGACATCGTTAATCATTTTATTTTGCTTTAATTCTCCTCCCACCACAATCCATTTATTTGTCCGTTTCATATGAATTTCACGTGAATACGACAGCCTCTATTTATTCACTTTATTCTCAGCGCCTATTCATCCGACAAAAAATTTTTTTTCATTTTTATGCTTTTCATGTGGATAGATTTTGTTTGCTATATAATTCCGTTCCTTTCTGTGTTAGTATTTTATTTTATTTTTAAAACTACACAAGTCCATAGTTTACAGAATAACTTTACAATTGTAATACGGAACAAGTTTTTTTGTTTAAAAATGCTTTTAAAGCATTTTTATTCACACATTTAAAATATTTTTAGAATGGAGGCCAAAAACTATAATTAAATATTTTTTATATTATCACATCACTATTTATTTTATAAATTTTATTATTTAAATAAACATTCTTCATTTTTATTTATTTTTATATTTTATTTATGATATTTTACTCGCTATAATTATTTTTACTCGCGAATATC